CTAGCCTGCTAAATTATAGCCAAGTGTTCTTAATTCCATGAATCTTCCTCTCCTCACATCTCCACAGTCTCACATTGCCAACACTATGTTGCGGGTCACCATCACTACACAAAGTACAGGCTGATCTAGGATTTGCCCTCAAGGAGAAGTGGCTGCCCTGGTGCTGTAATTTGTAAAATATATTACTGCATTGACACTTAGTTGTTTCGTCTCAAAAGATTTTTTTTCACTTACAAAATGAATCCACCCGAATCAGACAGAGACCTTTTAAATTAATTGACAGACAGTAATAGGTCAATGGCTAAATATGAAATTTTGCAAATTTCCAGCCTGCTGGTGGAAATCTGGGGGCTTTCTTTACAGGATCTAAAATCTTTTAGATTATAAATCTTATGTGTTTTGAGGAAAAACCTTGTTTACATAACCCAAAAAAGCTTGTGCTGAAATTTAGTCACAAACGGGGGCGGACTGACCATTTGGAAACTCCGGCACTGCCCGAGGGCCCGGGGTCAGTAGAGATGCCCCTGGTACCTTTTTCATAGGCTTTTTTGAGTTTGGGCAAGGACACAGGGGCCCCATGATCCCCTATTGCCCGGGGGCCCCATGAGTTGTCAGTCCGCCCCTGGTCACAAAAATGACTCCCAACTCCCTGCCTGTTCAGACATTTCTCAGAGAAAGGCTGAAAGGAAGTAGCTCCTTTCTCTCTCTTTAGAAAATTCACCATGCTCTGGAAATTTTATGTTATTGATGACTCTATTTTTAATGATTATTTGTAAAATTTTAAAATATAAATTATCACTCAAAAAAAAAACAAACAAAAAATGAAAAATAAATCAACCCCAACACTGTTATAGTTTCCCTTTAACCGCTTCCATATAGGGCACTTTTACCCCTTTCCTGCCTAGGCCAATTTTCAGGTTTCAGCGCTCTCACACTTTGAATGACAATTGCGCAGTCATACAACATTGTACCCAAACTAAAATGATATAATTTTCTTCCCACAACTAGAGCTTTCTTTTGGTTGTATTTAATCACCGCTGGGGTTTTTATTTTTTGCTAAATTAACAAAAAAAGACCAAAAATTTAAAAAAAAACCATGTTTTTCTTTGTTTCTGTTATAAAAGTTTGCAAATAAATAATTGTTCTTCATAAATTTAGGCCAAAATGTATTCTGCTACATGTCTTTGGTGAAAATAACCCAAATTAGGATGTATTATTTAGTCTGTAGGAAAGTTATAAAGTTCACAAACTGTGGGATATATCTGAAAATTGATCAATCCTGAAGTATTGACGGCCAATCTAATTTCTTGCGGTCCAAGAATGTTAGAACAGTACAGATATCCCCCAAAGGACCCCTTTTTACAAAGTAGACAGTCCGATGTACTTCATAAGAGGCATGGCAAGTTTTTTGAAGTTGTAATTTTTTTTGTCATAATTTTTTGGAAATGAAGAAATTAAAAAAATTATTTTCACTATTTTTTTTTTTTTATATACTGTCACTAGTGCAGTACAGCGTCATCATATAAGTTGCGTGGCGGTGATCAGGGACACTGACTGGTGACAGTACAAAAAAAAAAATTAGCATTATTTTTTGGGGGGTCTTTTTTACACAATTTGCTTATAGCAAAGAATTTCTTTGCTATAAGCAAGAATTTACCTGAATGAAATCAATTCATTCAGGGTTTTTTTTTGTGCTTAGCTGTGATTTGGCCACAGCTAATCACATGACACAGTTGGGCTGTGATTGGCCCAGCTTGTGCATGTGATCGCTGTGCCCATTCACAGCTAGACACACTTGTATACAATGGATGGCATGAAAGGAAGCCATCCATTGTGTACAACTGTCATGTGACCTGCTGTGATTGGTCACAGCAGGTCACATGGTACTGGCAACGGGACCGGTACACAGATCTGTCATCAGCCGTGTCCAAGGTACACGGCCGGTGACAGATCGTGCCACAGCACGGCCCTGCGGGCAGGCATGCCTGAAAGGACAGCTGTTTGCCCGGCCGCCATCTGGCTATAGGCCGGGCGGGAACCGGTTAAAACACATTTGTGTCATTTTTTTTGGCTTTGAGATGTGGTGTGGTTTTACACATGCTATTAGCCCAAATATTTTTTATATGACTTACACATCTTTACGGCCTTTCTCTTCCTCATCCATATTTTTTCTTTTTCTTTTTTATTTTTGCCCATAACTTTTATTATAACTTTTATTATAAAAGTTGAGATAAGTTTTCAGACATAAGTGCCCTTATATTCCAAGCTGTGTTACCACTTAGAAGGTGCTGAATAGTGTTTAAGGACATACTGAAATGACATTTGATAACACTGGATGAGAGACTTTTTAAGCATGCTTTAAAGCAGAGTTCCACTCACTCTGTATAAAAATACTGTAACTGCTGACTTATAAAAAACAACAACTCACCTGTCCCTCGATCCTGCGGTGCCCCCGCCGCAGCCCATTTCACCGGCTGTTCTGTATTCCAGGTGCTGGTATCTTCAGTGTGGGCAACCAGCTGTGACAGCTTGTGGCTTCACAGCCGGGTGTCCACTGCGCATGGCGAGTAGCGCTGCACTTCCTGAATGGCCACGTCATCTTCTGGGACCTGTCACGTGTCCCACAAGACTACGGAGAGAGGGTAGGAGGACAACTTCCACTTCCAATCGCATAGGCCAGGGGTAGGCAACTCTAGTTGTTGTAGAACTACATTTCCCATGAGGCATTGCAACATTACTAAACTGACAGTTACAGCTATGACTTGCAGAAGCATGATGGAACTTGTAGTCCTGCAACAGCTGGAGAGCCGCAGGTTGCCTACCCCTGGCCGAGGCGATCGCAGCGGAAGTGGGAGTGGGTACCTGTCAATTTCGGGTACCCACTCCCTAAAGGTGCCAATCCTTAATGGGGAGCGGGGGACCAATCTTTAAAGCAGAACTTCCCCTTTTGGGTGGAACTCCTCTTTAAGTGCACTTTTATGCCTTGATTAATCACAGTTTTCAGTCAACTGACTGACTGACTATGCCTGATTTACTAAATACATAAGGATAGTGAAAAGTGCTTGAAAACTATACCTGTGTTGTGAATTCCCATGCGCATGCGCATATTGAATGCAAATGCATAACTGGTTTGGTATAGAGTACACTCTTTTTAAATGAATTTTGCAGTACTCAATTGTGCACATTGAAATTCCAGAAAAGGCTGTTATTGTGGCTCAAATGCATGTATGTGGCAGTAAGGAAAATGTTTAGGACACAGCCTGCTTACATGTATCCACATGCCCCCCCCCCCCCCCTCCAAATCAAAAATACATGAGATTTTTTGGGCGAGTCTTCCATATTACAAAAAAATGCACATAAGACAATGATGACGGCAGTTTAGGTTATATAAATGTTAACATTTTAAAATCAAAAAGTACAATGTTGTAGGCACCACAATGGCAGCCCTATAGAATACATCTTGCTCTCAGATGAAATAAGACAGGATACTCCTAAGTACTTTTCATTACAACATACAATTACAGTGTATGAAATCATGTATGCACGTGTGCATGCCTTCTGTGTTGAAAGCATGCATACACATGGACTTGATTTACTAAAGGACATGAGCTTACACTGGTTGTGCGCAGACCAGCACATCACATCCTCTTTGAATTTAACTGAGCTTAATAATTATTCCTTTGAGAAAAAGCAATTAAGTATGATCATCTTGTAAAATACATAAATGGTCCATAAAGTAAAGTTGGTGCAAAGGGGTTCATTTTAAAGTGATATTAAACCCCCAGTTTTTAAGCACTTACTGAGTATGCAACTTCTTTCTCTTTTAATCCTTGCCTCTGTTCCAGTTTGGGTTGTTGCCCTGATTGCTGCTCCATGTTTTCTGTTCAGAGAGGCTCCTTTCTCTTGCAGCCTCCTATGGAGTCACCCTTGCATGCAGGGACTAGAGCTGTGTCTCCATACACTGTGTGCATCAATAAAAGCACACAGCCCTATAGCCTAAGATGGCAAGGCACTCCCATGCTCCTCTTTCCTCTACTTCCCTTCCCCAGTCTAAAAGACTGGCTCCAGACTGTATACTCTTTAAGACCAGAAGTTCAGGAAAGCAGCACTGAGCGAAGAGGAGCCAGCAACATATCAAGTAAACTGCAAGTGCAGGGGAAATAATTTTAATAAATAGTTCACTGGGAAATGTTTATTTAATTGTGCTCTATGTTAAATTAAAAACACTGAGGGTTTAATAATACTTTAAAATGGTTGTAAACCCTTACATATACCCAGTGAAGTGAGTAGTGTCAGGTGATGCACTGAGATGTAACAAATCCTCCTACATAAGTTGTACCTGTTTATCTACTGACGTATGCCCCCTACATCCATTCAAAGTGCAGAATTTACACAGGATCTCTCAGCTCTGAAAAGCAGGGGAGAAGAAAGCTGAAGTTACATCAGTGTGGAGAGCTTTGAGAGCTGATTGGAGAGAAGAGACACACCCTTCACACAGCACACAGGAACAAAGCTGAGGCTGTTAATCACAGGTTGTACCCTCCCCTGTCACATTTTTTCTCTTGGTGTCAGGAAAACTTGTCAGAAGTGACTCATGCTTATAGTAAAGGAAAGGCGCAGTGGACAGAAATGACACTTTGAGCTCTGGAATGAGACAAGCACATACTATAGAATGATATACTCTGTTCATATTTCATGTCTGAGGTTTACAACCACTCTAAGGTTTTACCATGACAAGAGGGTACTCTTTCATGCTTGTAGGTCTAACCTCCATATATGGAAAGGGTTCTTTAACCACCTCCCACCTGCCATATAGTAATATGATGGACGCAAGGTGGTTCCCTCGTTCTGGGAGGACGTCATATAACGTCCTCCCATTCTCACCGCGCATGCGTGGCTCAGGGAGCACGCAGCGTGGCGATCGGTGGTGCACTGTGTCCCTCGGACACAGCGGATCACTGATCACGGAAAGAGCTGAAGATGTTGGCTCGATCATGTGATCAGCTGTGTCCAATCACAGCTGATCACATGTAAACAGGGAAATGCCGCTGACAGCTCAAGAGAAGAGGAGAGCCGGTAATCAGCTTTCCGCAGAGGGGACATGTACACTGATCATCAGGGCACTGATCAGTGTGCCCTGATGATCAGTGTAGCCCCAGCAGCGCCACCTGTCAGTGTCCATCAGTGCCTTGTGTCAGTGCTGATCAGTGCCTCGTGCCAGTGCCCATCAGTGCCACATCAATGCCACATATCAGTGCCTACCACTGCACATCAATGCCACATATCAGTGCCCATCTGAGCTGCCTTTCAGTGTCACCCATCAGTGCCAGTCAGTGCCACATATCAGTGCCAATCAGTGCCACCTATCAGTGCTGCCAATCAGTGCCGCCTATCAGTGCCAGTCAGTGCCGCCTATCAGTGCCAGTCAGTGCCACCTGACAGTGCCTGTCAGTGTCACCTACCAGTGCCAGTCAGTGCCGCCTATCAGTGCCAGTCAGTGCTACCTATCAGTGCCACCTATCAGTGCCATATATCAGTGCTGCCTTTCAGTGCCCATCAGTGATGCCTGTCGATGCCCATCAGTGCCACCTACCAATGCCTCCTCATCAGTGTCCATCAGTGCAGCCTGTCAGTGCCCATCACTGCAGCCTCATTAACGCACATCAGTGAAGGAGAAAAATCACTTATTTACAAAATTTTATAACAAAAACTAAGAAAAAACTTTTTTTTTTCAAAATTTTCAGTGGTTTTTGGTTTGTTTAAGAAAAAAAATAAAAAACCCAGAGGTGTTTAAATACCACCAAAATAAAGCTCTATCTGTCACAAAAAAATGATAAAAATTTCATATGGGTACAAAATTGCATGACAGCGCAATTTTTATTCAAAGTGCGACAGCGCTGAAAGCTGGAAATTGGCCTGGGCAGGAAGGGGGTATAAGTGCCCTGTAGGCTAGTGGTTAAAGAAAGTTTTGGAATAAACTTCCAAAGAAGCTAGTTGTAGCCCACTGGGTAGGTCGTGCTTTCCTCTAGATCAACTGTGGCATTCTGAGGATGCTGTTTTTGGGCCTGATTGGTTTTGTGCTATTTTTTTTCTCTACTATTTTTATTAATCAGCCCAATGTAATCTATAACAATGCAAAGTGATGTAAGTACACATTGGGTTGCTAAGAGTCACTAAAACTGGTACAGCTGTACAAAGAAACCAATCAGCTTCAAGGGTTTATTGGCAATGCCTAATTGAACAAGCTGAAGCTGAAAGCTGATTGGTTACTATGCACAGCTGCACCAGATTCTGTATGCTCCATATTTTGTAAGTCATCCCCATTGTTTATTTTTGTATAGTAAGACACCTTAGAGCCCATTCACACTTTGCCCATTCTGGTGCTTTGCATTAGGGCAGCCTATCCAAATTATTGGGCTGCTAGCGTACAAGAAAAGACCATAAAATGGACATGCAGCATTTTTTCTAATGCAGTGCACTACTATGCATGGTAGTGTATTACAGTGCATTGTGGCACACTGTAATGCATGTGCAGCAGAAGTAAATTGGTTTAGACTGTTGGGTTGCAATTTAAAATGAATGGCACCACAATGTTCTAACATGTGATTTAACATGTGTTGTGGTAATGAGCACGTTAACAGAACGCACTGGAACTGAGAAGTGTAATTGGCCATTAATGTTATTTATTCCTACAGACCTGATCAGATCCATAGAAAACTGGGCAGCATGAAAAGTAATTTGCTTTGTGGTTTTACATTAACATACCGTACTCTATAACATGTTAGCTAACACACAATATATCACCAAATCATTTTTTGCAAGCTAATATATTCAGTCTTGTGTAAATAAAAGAACAGGATGTGAATAAACATAGTTCTTAATTTCTTACACACCTCGGAAAGGTAATGCTATTCGCCTGTGGCAGAATAATCAAAATTTTTCCCTAGTTACCACTTAGTTGTAGTTACATGGTTGTGTTGTGCAATGACAAAGCTGTCAATGCCAAGGTGTCATCTGCTTTATCATGAATGATCAGCCTGGGCAAAGATTTCAACATGCAAACCTGATTTTTGTTACAATATCCATGCAAACCATTATTGTTGCTTATTTTTTAGTATATTTACCATTTGAAATAATAATTTATTAATATAATGAATAATTTATAAAGTGCCAACAATTTGTGAAGCACTTTACATAAGAGAGACAATACAATTACAATACAATTCAAGGCAAAAGGGCAAGGAGGACCCTGCTCTTGAGAGCTTACAATATAAAGGGAAGGGCGAGTGATAAAGAAGGTTTTAACTATGGGTTGTGAGTTGCTCAAGAAAGTCAAATTCAGTTGTTAGCTAGAGGTCGGATGGGTTTCCCTCAAGAGATGAGTTTTCAGTGATCATCTAAAGGTGGACAGAGTAGGTGAATGCTGGACAGGTTGTGGTAGGGAGTTCCAGAGAACTTGAAAGGTTCTGGCGAAGTCCTACAGGCAAGCATGGGAGGAGGCAACAAGGGGGCTAGAAAGCAGGAGGTCTTGAGAGGAGTGAGGGGAATAGTATGGTTGATATTTTGAGATGAGTTAGGTGATGTAGCTGGGGGCAGAGTTGTGGATGACTCTGTAAGTTGTTAGTATTTTTAATTTAATTTGTTGGGTGGTTGGATGTAATTGAAGAGATTGGCAGACACTGACCTGTTGGTAAGGTAGATGAGTGTGGCAGCAGCATTACTGAAAGACTAAAGGGGGATAGCATGTGGGATAATGAGATAATGAGTGAATAAATTATTAGTTCGGAGGCGTGCTTGGTTAAGAAGGGGCGCATTTTGGAAATGTTATGGAAGTGAAGGCGTTATCAATCAAAAGCAATAAGTAATAACAAGCCGTATGAAAAGTATTTATGATTTTTCTGCAGGTATTTATAACCATACCTAAAATACATGAAACTATACTCTTTCCTTGAAACTATGTGAGAGTGAAAAACAGCAGCTCCCGCGGATGGTATGAATCAATAAACATACGTTGCCTCTTAGCCACCATCTGCCTTTTGCACTGCTATGAAGAACCAGAACTGCAGGAATGGTCACCATCATGAAATGGAAGATCTTAGTGCCAAAAGTTTGATATTGAAAATACAGAAATATATTTAGAAAAAGCTGAAAATCAAAGTAAATTAGCTTCCCTAGCTTCACCTGTATTCAACAGCCATTTCCCAGTGTCTACAAACAAAGATGTATGCCTAGGTTAATTCCCCCTGGAGGTAGACCAATGGTGCTCCAAAGTTCACAGTGTCTTCTTGGCACTTTAAACAGAATAAGAGTGTAAGGTGGAGAGCTGACAACTCGTTTCTCCCGATAAAAGTACTTTATTAATAAAGTGTACATTGTGCAAGTTTCAGCAGCGTATGTGTTTTTCGGTAAAAACCCTTAGTCATAACCATCATGGTTTTTACTGAAATGCCTAAGTGGCTGTAACTTGCACACTGTACCCTTTACCAATATAGTACTTTTATCAGGAGTTGCCAACGCTTTACCTTATACTCTCATTTCCCAGTGTCTGTCCTTCAGATTTATATTATAAACCATATGAATCTGAAGCAGGTGGAAAAGATGCCGGACAATCCTCACCTGCAGGGTGTTGAATGTGCAACAAAGGTATGCACCACTGAAGGAACAGGACTAGGACAAGAGTGGTGGGTCTGCCATGTGCAAATGGAACAAAAAGATCAAAGCTGGTGTCTGTTATAGAAAAGGGAACAATGGCTGCACACCGCCATGTGGTACAATCCAGGTAAAATTTATTTCACCGGTGTCAGACAGCACAGGGACAATCAAACTGTTGACGCGTTTCACATAATCAGGTGCTTACTCATAACTAAGAGTTATGAGTAAGCACTTGATTGTGTGAAACGCGTCAACAGTTTGTGTGTCCTTGTGCTGTCTGACACCGGTGAAATAAATTTTACCTGGATTGTATGTCACAGTGCTGCGCAGCCATTGTTCCTTTTCCTCTTCAGTGCACATGGTGACGAGCCTGGGTGAACACCTGCACGGAACCACATCAAGTACATTCACCTTGAGCGGTGTATGTCTTGTTTGGTGTCTGTTATAGACATACTAAATATGCCAATTGTTACAAGAAACATGTAGAAGGAAATGTTTGCTTTACTCACCCTCCAGAAATTATATACCCCAATACAAGTGAAGTGTTATGTGTGAAATTGTAAATAGATGTTTTCTTGTACTTTTTTTGCTTAAAAAAATACTCCCATCATGTGACTGCAAAGCCCATAACTTTTTTCCAGACAGTGTGGCTGTTGGGCATGTCTGCAATCCACAACAATGCTAGGATGAACTGATACATATTCTTGTTTCTGGCTGGATGAGATAGGGGTGAGGCTAGATGGGAAGGGAAAGGGCTAGGCAGGGCAGGGCAAGGGTCGGGTTAATCAGAACTGTTCTGTATTGAAAGCACAGACACCAACAATGGTTTAGGGAAATACAAAAAAATAAAAAAATCACCATGCAAAAGGAACCAATACAATTATGTGAAAAAATATTAAAAAAAGATATGAAAAGGCACTAGCACATAATGGTACAGGGCACAGCAAATAAACTTACGATTCAAAACATATGCCGTGCTACTAAAGTGATAAATCAATATATAAAAGATAAATATGTAAAAAATAGACAGTCCAACATATAACAAACGTCCATGTAGAGCAGTGGTCTCCATACAATGGCACGGGAGCCAGATATCCTTTCCTTACTTTTATCTGGTCCTTGGGCACTATTTCATCTATTGATACCGACAATGTGGCATAATACCCCCCCCCCCCCAATGACACCAATGAAGGGGCACAATTCCTCCCAATTAAACCAACAATTGGGCCCAATAACACCAATGATGGGGCACAATTTATTCCACTGACACCAAAGATGGGGTATTGTCTGTTCCCACCCACATTGGGACCTTTTCTAATCCCAATAGCTACAGTCCGGCCCCCCTAAAGTCTGAAGGACAGTAAACTGGACCTTTTTTTAGAAAGTTTGGAGACCCCTGATGTAGAGCAATCTGTCCACCACTTGTGCAGTAATCTTCCAAATATTAATGCTCTTCAAACCATAGACTCCCAAGTAATGGGCTAAGGAAGTGCCTGTAAGCAGCTACATTGACTGCACAGTCGTTGTCGGAAAAGCTCAGGAGATTGCTGATTGTCTAATTTAGGCTACTGTTTCTAATCTAGACAATCAGCAGTTAAGAAAATGCATAATATAAAAGTTTTAGTTCTTAAACATACTAAGCATGGGTAGAATATGATTTTTACCTAGCATTCCATTTTAACATTGACAAATGGTAAATCTAGATTTGCCACAAATGCAACTCAGTCTGGGAAAAGCTTAAGGCCAATGAGTGAACTTTATAACAACAGGACAAATGGACGAAATGAAATCAGCTAACCAGAAATCCCACATTTTCCCACTGCTTTTACAGAATAT